CAAATAATTCATGCCATTGAGGTTGTGACTTTGAAAGATTACTAGAATAAAGACTACATTTAAAAGAGTTGAAACATAATTTTAAAAATACATATAGGACCCAATATCCGACCAAAAAAATTCTGAAGCGAATCCATCAATCCCTAGAGATTTGTCAATTTAAATGATTTTAATTGCTTCAAATAAAACCAGTTAAGTATCTCTAATTACTGTTGATTAATTTAATTCACATGTTGTCTATGTTTTAAAATCCTTATAATAAATCATTTCAAAATTGATATCATCTAGAGGATAATCTTTGTTTTCATAAAACTTCTCGTAAAAAGTTTTTATTATCTTTTCCAAAATGTTAACCTGCTTATTGATTAAACTCCATTCTCTGTTCATTTACAAGTTTTTGTTAATGTCATTTCTTTTTTTTTCAAGTACATGTACAGTAAAATATCTAATAATTTGTTTTCATTCTTCGATCCATTTACAATAACTTCCTTTAAGTAATCCTTATTATAATAATTCATACTAATTTTCCAATTTTCTTCCAAATCTGCCTGAATTTCATTTAGTATATCTGAACGAAGCTGTGAGGGACATAAACCATACATTTTTTTTATTTATCTTATTGTGAGATGAAAATGAAATAGTTCGCCATTTTATTTTCATTAGCAGTATATCCAAAACATAATTCTTTGGGAATATAAAATTGAGCATTTGGATCTGAAATACAAACTGACCTCAAGTTACTTATTAACACACTGGCATGAAAATACACGTCATAGTAGTTTTTAGATGAAATGAAAAATATTGTTGAGCAAATTATGAAGTTTGCCTCTATTAGATGTAGCAAAACTAACGTCGATTTCTGTTGAAATTGATCAGTTAATCAACAGCTGGCATTTTTTTTAAAAACAAATTTCCACATTTTGCGTCATCCAGAATAAGTTTAAACCACATCCATGAACAAAAAAAAAATGCCCGAAAACTTTAATCCAATGACATTGACTTAAAATAATCGACATTGTCAATTGTGCATTCTAATGAGCTACGCAAAAATATACACAGTGCGAGACCATTTCGTTTCTCAACATTAAAGCATTTTTGACGAATATTTCTTATAATACGTTCTCAGCAAAATATGACAAAATTTAATCTTTATTAATCTTGTCTAAAAAATAAAAAAAAATATTAACACAAAATAAGTGAATTTTTTTTTATAAAGCCACTAATCAATATGTTTCTAAAGTTTGTTTCAACAGAGATGTTAAAAGCATAAAAGTCATGTTCAATATAGATAATTTCCTTCTAAAATAAATAGTTTTCTTTTTGTTAATAGAAGTACATGTGCCTTTATATTTACTTGTACATCTGCACAATTTAAAAGGATTTCCATCCCTAATATGACCAAATTCTCTACCCTTAAATGTCCATCAAACACATGTTAATGCAGTTATATATTAATATTGAGATATTAAATTAAAGCATTCTATATTAGAAAAGGATTGCCGCAAGAAGTTTTAAAAATTTCATAAACTAAGCAGTAGTTTAGTAGCAAAGATTGCACTTAAGTCTATGGGGAAAAAGTTTAAAAATTCAGATAACAAGGATATCATTAAATACTGTGGTGAAAGATGCACGGAAACATTAGAATAGAATGACTAATGTTTTTTTTCCCCAAATAATTTATTAAAATTGATTTTTATTCATAAAAAAGAGAGATAATTTTTACCAAAATTCAAGGTCATAACTTAGGACACATCCCACCCTAAAATGATTACATGTATAGTAGTAAATGGAAATTAAATCTGACTATACCGAGTATTTAACACCTACACATTTGTTGTGTATTTAATTTCATGGAATAAGGAATTAAATACCTTAACGACTTATTTGATTTTCAATAATTATAAAAATAAATGTCAATGTAGTTTGAAATTTTAAACCGGAAAGGTAATTATATCATAACAATTGATTTTTCAGGATATATCAAAATCTGTACATTTGTCAGAGTGGATAAATTATGTAAATGAAATAAAATCAACATATCTAAATGCACTTGTCAAGCAAAAATTATTTTCAAAGTGGAGTTGTAATGTGTCGTGGGCATCCTAGCTTATTTAGGGAGATCCTACGGGAAAAAAATGTGAAGGGTAGGTCGTTCTTAAAACAAACTTAATTAGGGGATATTAACCATTCTCTTCGCTGAGTTTTTTTTTACTATATGTCTTTAGGCCGTTACCAAGAAAAGATGGCGTAAATTGCTCTGCAGGCTTTAGAAGGGACCGCATCATCCAACAGTATGTAGGTACGTACGAACTACCATTCTGGACATTTCCTTTGATACTGTAAACAAACTTTTATACGCGTGCGAGAAATTTTTGCGAGATATGCAGGAGCCTTGTCCCCGCGAATATTTCTCGTTGCAGACTTGTCCTAAAAGTTTTTGTGTCAATTAACAACTGAATCGAAAAAAAAACTTCATTATGAAAATTAATTGTCGCGAATTGGTTTACCCCAAGTAAATTGCATTATAAAGTCGTTGAAAATAAAAATTTTGCTATAAGTTTTCAAAAAACTTCACCCTCACTAAATTGTATTATTCAAATGCTATTCATTTACAGAATGCACAGTGGGGATTTTTGTAATTAAGCGCTCCAAATTGTGCCAATTTTATTTCTAGTTTTTAAAGAAACATCCACTGCAAAATACTATTATATAATGAATTATACATTGAAACTGGTTCAAACTAAAAATGAACATGATGTCAATAAGGATCGAAATACACATTACTGAAGTATATCAGGAAATAGATACGTTCAACCGTTTTGATCAAACATTTCCATCAGTGTGTGTAGTGGTGATTACTAGAGACAGCACGGACGTAAAAGCAATTAATACTACTTGACAAGTTGACATTTAAACAATTGTAAATAAAAAATTTCCTTCTTTTTCATGTATAGACTATATATTATATACAAAAATTGTACTTTATTAATTTTTTAATTTATTTATTTATTTTTTTGTTTTTTGCTTTTTTTTTGTAATTAGACAAATAGCATGTCTGCTTTGTGCATGCAATTTTTCAAATTTAAATTCTGAACTAAATTGTGATAAACAACTTTTTATTCATATTGCTTTTAATTAAATCATCCACTTTTGCAGTATAAGCTATTTTACCTCAAAGTTTTATAAATGCACACTGTACACATTGAATGATCTATCTCTCTTTTATTACAATTACTCTGAGTTATTCAAATGCATCACAAAAATACATTTTTAATCAACACAAAACATTACTAAATATAACTGTTGCAAAATTCATTTCACAGTTGTTCAAGATTAAGTTCATTTATCTCCAAATAAACTTTTTTTTCAAAATAAACATTTGAGAAAGCCATTGGTAGCTAGATATTAATTGGTACATGTATTCATGTACATGTAAATGATTAAAATAAAACTCCACATAAACTTTTGTAATTCTTGAACAACTGAGTGGTAGTAATTATAAATACAAAAATTACATATACATGTATATGAATGATAAATTCAAAATTCCAATATCACACAAATATATACATTAAAATAAAACACAACATTTTAACGAGAGCATCAGGGTACTATAGCAAAAAACAAAAAAACAAAACAAAACAAAAAAAAAAACAATGCAATATACAAAAAAACGTTTAGTTCTTATTTTAATTCAAGCTTAATTTTTTCACAACAGTTAAAATACAGAACAGCAAGTAATTTCAATGATATGAAAAACCTTTGAAGATTTACAATAGCAAATAAAATGTAATTGAAGTGTTACATTCATTGAAATTTTCAATTGAAATGCTTGATTCATATTAGAAATGTTTACTATGTTGATTAAAAATATTTTTGTCTTTTATGTAATTGAATGTCCTGCAAATGTCATTCACACAGTTTTTGATAATTAGTAAGTTATATGATGACAATATTTATAGCTATCCACATCTTTAGGAATCACCTTTTCTGGGATTCGATATCATTAAGTGGTCTATCTTTTCTTTCTTGGAACATTTCTCTGTAAGAAAATTATTAACATTGATGTGAATTTTCTGTAATATATTAAATAAATATATTATATAAAAATCATAAAATTCAAGATGACAAAAATCTAATCAGTATACCTTGTATTTTTTTCTTTCTTTTATAATAAAAAGGAATATACAAACTGATATAAATATAACGAATGAAACGACTCAGACAGGACCATAAAATCACGTCCATAGAGGTGTCTGCACTGCTGAAAAAAATATACACGTACAGTGCACATATATATAATATAACATAATTCAATATATATAACATTTAAAACAAAATTAAATGATAGATACATGAAATTCGAAATTTATTTATGTAGATGGCACTTACACTTCTGGTCTTTCAATTTTTTTTTTCACTGAACTAAAATTTGAAACTTTATTCGATAATAAATTTACTTCTGTGCTTTGTGTTTTTCACAGCAACACATTCTGGAACTAAAATAAAAAGGATTTTTATATACTAAAGTAATACAATTCAACAATTGTTTTTGCAAAAACGAATGTTATAACTATGTTCTCAGACAATATAACGTTAACGTTTTCATTGCATACAAAATTTAATGTAAATATTATAGCGCTTACATTTGTAGGACTTCCAAGATTCGTATCTGTTTGCACAAGGCTGTGCGTAATGTTTACAATCAGCATTGTAGTTATCTTGTATTCGTTCACCACGGAAATTATATTCTGGACAAAATCCTAAAAAAAAACCACAAATGTCAATATGATTTTCATAATTAGCCAAAAAAAATTTATATACAAAACTGTTGAAAACATTTAGATATTTAACAAAAGCACTTCCTCTTACATATATTATATACCTAAAAGAAATAATCCAGGAGCACACACTTCAATAGTTTCATTCATGAAGGCGTTTGAAACACAATGATATCTGAAATTTTCTGGACTAGTACAGTTTTGGGAAATGCTTGAGCAATTTTTTCGTCTGTTGCAGCCATCCACTCTTCATGTGTGTGTGGACATTTGGTATAGGACACTGTCGATGTCGAAGCGGGGCAATTTTGGAAAGCCGTAGTCTACAATATTACAAATGTGATTTTTAAAAAAAAATTCCACATTGACCAAGGAATTTTTTAATAAAAATTATTTAAAACTGTTTTGTTCTTTTTTTTTTACAAAGTTTTTTTTTTTTAAATTCCTGTAAAGAATAGTTTCAAAGGTTCTTAGGACAGCAATGATAATTTTTAAAATCACAAACATAAAAAAAATATGGGTGATAAACGCTGAAATAAATATTTACCCTAACACGTTTTATGAATATTTAATAGTATTTATTTTGATACCGGTGTTTTAGATACTGCACATTTTAAATGCAAAAAGAGCTACAGATGTTCGTTTTAACATTTCATGTTTTAATATACGAAAAAAATATATTTTTGGCAAGCCTTTTATGCAATTAGTGATGATTATGCAATATGATGATAAAATGAAATAGATATTTACCCTTATATTTAATATTTTTTTATTTTTTTAAAGTTACCACTTTTAGCATAAAGTATATCTTTAACCTTGGTCATACACTGTAAATTTTGAATGCAAAATGAAGTTACAAAATAACCAGAGAGATCAACAGTACAAAAACAAAATACTTTCTTCTATATCAAATGTGAGGTATTGAATTATTGCTCGGAAATACCCTTATCTAAATATAGAAGCACTTTAATACGCACGTTGATATTTGGGATAAATGGCAAAGTGGAAAAATAGTTAACACGATACAGTGCTAATTAAAAATCTCTCGGAATGCTTCTCCTAAAAAATGATATCAGCAATGTTAACCTGAGTTTGTACAATTGAATGAAAATTTAAAAAGACATATTTTGATGTTTTGTTTCCTTGTCTGCTCAAACATTTTTAAACACCATCTATCTTTATAACATAAAGAAAATTTTCTTGTATGAGCCCACAGCAATTATAGAAGTTCATATTTTAAAAGAAATTAATCAATATCACGGTATATTACAGGCGTTTGAAAATCTCCAAAAAGTTTGTCTCATGCGTATGCAACACAAACATTTCCTTTCATTAAAAGTAATGAATAAACAACTTCACCTTTATATTATTTTCTAATATTCACTGTAAAATTACAACCATGGGTATTAAACAACTGCTGGATAGCTTCTATATGGCTAGATAGATAAATGATCCTATTAATACTTACCGACAACTTGACAGTTTGTAGCATAATATTTAAAAAGATCAAACAACATGCTCTCTGGGTGCTCATCTTTGAATACTTTGTACGTAAATCATTGAAAATCTGTCATATTTTCTTTTGAAAATATTTCTTACAAGGAATAGCAACGGGACATATATCCTCTCAGTCAATGCATGCAATTGGAAATGCCCTTTGCTAAATATAAATCACTTAGCCGTACGTGTACCCGTATTAAACTTTTATAAGGTATTGGAGTGATATTTTAGTATATGATATATATAATTATCTTTTTTTCATTATTATGACCAATGCACATACAATATTATCAATATACACTGCACTATCACCCGAATGTTATTATGCATCAACGTATTCAAGACAATATAGGGGAATTCTATTTCAAAAATGTCGTATGTGTAAAATCATAACTTTTTTAATAATTGCCAGTGTATGCTGCAAACGTTTTAACTATACAAAACAAATAAATTTACGTAATTCAAGAGGCCTCAAATTTATGATTTATAGTTAAGATCATTTTCTGACTAAAATAAACATTTTCAATGGGTCAATGTTCCGAAGTTTTTATTGAAAATATATTTTTTCTATAATTATTGTAATATAATGACTGAAAAATATGATTATTGCACTTATGAAAATAACCATAGGTGTTACATACATTGTAATTAAAGTTCGTTGTCTTTTGCTCAGTTGAAGTTTAACAAGTTTGATTTCATATATTTTTAAAATACATTCATGACGAATATGATTCGCTGTTAACATGTTTATATTGATCATGTCAATTGTCGCAATATGTGGTCTATTTACAAGAGTTTTACCTATTCATATAAGAACTAATATATGCCTTTAATATTCTTTCATATGCTTATGAATTTATATCCTTAGTATATTGTGAAATCAGTCAAGTTGAAGAAACAAAATTAAACTGCGGACACAATAGTCAACATTAGAAAAAAGGGATGAGTGGAAAAGAATATCCTGCAGCAAATGATCATGATCACCATCACAATCCGAGTCTTCTTCTACATTTTTGTAAATGAAGCTTGGTGATCTTTTTTTAACAAAATATATGTTAAAGTTTACAGTTGTTTATTTCTCGAGTATAGCTGAGTAATCCATTTTTTGTCAGAGCTCCCCTTCAAATCATCGTCTCAAGCCACGGTTCGGAGTCTGCATATAACTCTCTATTACATAAATGGGAGAAGACCGTGCATTTTAAAGTTGGCCGTAACAGGTTTGCGAAATTGCTTACATATTGATATGTCATCAACACATTGTGATGTCACAACATCACCTTAATTACATCTGCTTTTTATAGAACATATTTAAAACTATATGTTGGTAAGAGATATTTAGAATATAGACACTTTTTAGTCACCCCTCGAACAATAAATTGTAACCCCTCCAAAAAGTAATTGAGGACAGATTATACAAATATTTGTTTTCTTTGGAGGAGACTTATTATCATGTCACAGGTTTAGAAAAATGGATAATTCTTAAAAAACAAATATGGACAAATCATACTTAGTAAATGTTTACTGATAAAAAATAAATTTCATAATATGTAAGTTTGGTGCTAAGCGTGTAATATAAACTATAGAAAAATATACCAAGCTAGGTGAATTTTATGAGAAAAAACAGAATGAAAAAAAAATTAGAAAAATCATATAGGCTGATTTTTACTATTAATATTTTGCTTTTCCCAATAAAATTTATCTGGCTATAAGTCTCCTCCAAAAAAAAAATGTTTGTATCGTCTGTCCTAAAGAAATTTTTAATTTCAGTTTATTGACAAGTAAGAGGTAAATATCTATTTTGCTTTTGTCAAAAGAATGAAAAAAATTATTTTGTTGGTAAAGCGGATACCAACATGTGCAAGTGTACGTGTATGGGGAGGGGGGAATACATGGCAGTTACCTGCGTTTGTAAATAGGCCTTCTGTAGCAAATTGTTATGCTTAGTTCAGGGAATCATAAAAGAAACCTGAGCTGGTATTTCAATGACACAAATGAACTTTCAATATGTGTGCACTAAGACATTTAAATTAGATGTAAACAATTTGAAGAAGACGGCACAAAGAAAAGAGAAGCAACTCTTACGTACGGTATTTATCTGTTTTGCCTCACAGGAGTCATGCATCCTATGCAAGGAACATTTTTCCTTGAGGCGTTTTACTGGATAAATTTGCATCAGATCACATATTTTGTCCAGTATGTAACCTTGGTAACTTAACTTATCCCTGTGATTTACTATAACAATATTTCTCAAAGCATATTATTATTACTAACTATTATATCCAACAAATTCTTAATACAAATATTAATATATTTTTTAATACACCATGTTTTTTTAAATAAATATAGATGAGGGAAAAAATACATGTACAAAAATTCTTTTTAATTTAAACTTAGATACACTCTTTAAATAATTGAAAAGGTAACACAATTTATGTTGTTTGGGGATATTTTATTTCTGTACACATGTAGTTAGCACACTGTTGTTATTCTCTGTCCTGTCTCTAACAGTTAATCCAGTCTTAGGAACTGAAACAAAATAAGTATGGGTAATTATCACTGTGTATATAAAATATTATTGCTGCATGTACTTTAAATGGCGCGCTTTAAATATGTTACATGTAATGTAGTATTGATATGTAATTTTAAATCTTTCCTTTTCGTTTTCTTGTAGTCTCTTGAGCTCAATAAATTAATATATATATCTGACCAGAATATGTCTGTCTATGTTCTTTTTAAAACTTTGCTAAAAATGATTCAGTTAGAAAAGATAAACAAACTACAATATCACTCTTTCTTTTCTCTGGGTGTGTTTGTGTGAGAGTGAGAGAGAAAGAAGGAGGAGGAGTATATGAGTGTCTGTGTGAATAATATATATCTAAACATCTTCAATGAAAAAATAATTTTTGTTGAAAGTTGTTCTTCTCGCCAGTTGTTTTCGTAAAATTAAGAGTAAAATTTTTGGTTTGGGGAAAAACACGATTCGTTTTGACTTAATTTAGTGGATGAGTGGATGTTTAGTTGTGTATGTATGAACTTTTAAAATTTTGTTGAGACTTAAGCTTGAATTACAAGGGTTGATCCAAAAGTAATGTCACAACTTCGATAAAAAATTTTCTAGTCGTCGTAAATTTACAAAATTTTACATGATGGAAGCTATATTTATTTCAAATCAGTCCTGAAAAATTCAAATTAAAATGATTTATACTTTTCAAAATATCACAAAGTGCGATTATGATGCACCTATTAACGTCATAAAACGGATATGCGCCGTCACACATTTTTAAAGACGCCTTCCCATTGTTTTATTAAAAAAATTGATATTCACAAACTATTCACATATTTTATTTTCTTTAAGAACAATTGGCACCAAATGTACACTTTATCTATAATTTAATCTTTCATCACAATTCTTTGAACAAAAACTTACTTATCAATCAAACTGTAAGTGTTTATTTTCTGGTATTTCTGTCCCCAAATAATCATTTAATTACCTATAACCCGCCCAAAATCTCTGAAACCATCTATGAACAAGTCTCTCGATCGTTAACATATACATGAGAGATTTCCTATTTTTTTAAGGAAAAATACAAGTATTGCAAATCATCAGATATAAACAATACTGTTTATGATGAAAAAAAAATGCTGCCATTTAATTTTTAACTAAAGATTAGAAAATGTCGTAAATTTTGTATTTTAAAATATTGGACGATTATACGTTTTTTTAGATGCTTTTTTAAATGTATTTGTCTTTTTTCAAAAATATTAACTTTAAAACGTGATATAGTTGTGACGCAATTAATGTTTTAAACATCTATAAAATGAATTCAATTCAACATTATTAAATGAAATTTTCAATTTTGATTAGATTTATGCTTATGCATCTTTTGGTGCATTATATTTGATAAAATGACGCCAAATATTAAAGATATTGACACAGTGACATAACTTTTGGATCAACCTACACTTAAATTCACAGTTTTAAAGTATTTAAAAAATACATGTGTTTATTTTCAACAAACTATGTTGAGAGATTCATTTAAAACACTAAATATAAGAATGTTCCTTTTCAGTTTCCTACAAAAATGTTAATGAGGTACATGTAAATAAAAAATCCTTTTAAACAATAATTTAATTCTGACATCCATTAAAGTCAGGAAAAAAGAAATCATTAATTTGCATGTTGAATCAGCAAATGTAAAAACTACATTTTGAAAGTATTATACATGCAAAACTTGATATTCATTTATTTGAAATTATAATGGCATATTCATCTTGAAGTAAATGTAAAAACATCGATGTATTGACGTCTTTATTTTTGGTGTATCATGCATCTTTGTAAATTGTTAAACGCATGTATTATGTTCAGATATGTTCACATATACATAATTACATGTATCTACTATATTTCAAACGATACAATTATCGGTCAAATGAAATAAAACAAGAATTAATTACATCAGAAATTCATATATAAATTTTGTATGCTTTATAGAAACTTTAAAAATCTTAATTATATAATTAAGAAACAAAATCCTACTGGATCATGCAGCAGGCACAACAATAAACCCCCAAGAGTACCATATGCAGTATCACCATTTTTAAAGAAAAATTCTTGAGAAAAATGGTAGTGGAGCCAGTACGGAAAAAATTATTGGAAAGTACTCACTCGAATTCGCATTCCTCATCTCTCTCGCACTCCGCATTGGATACTCTAAGATAAAGACATGATGTTCTTTATGAATAAATGATGAATTTATATATATAAAAAAAGTTGTTAATCCAAAACTTCTTAAATTTATAGATTTTAGAATAGAATATATTTATAAAAAGAATCTGATTTCAGATCATTATTTTTGTTTGACACACACACTCAAAAAAATGAAAGAATTTTAAATTTTATTTAGTAATAAGACCTACCTAAGAAGTCCAAAAATAATTAAAATACAGATGATGACGGTCTTCATATCTCTTGTATGGATATGATGCTACCAAATCTATATACAAATGAATTTTTCCCAAAAAAGTTTATTGTGCCAGTATCAGTTCTAAATACTCAAAGTAATGCATTTAAAAAATATATTCAGAGCTTCAAATTTTACACTAATTTGCTGGAGAAAAATAGAAAATCTACGAATTGTGCATGTAAGTGCTACAAAATACATCATCTTTCAATTTAATTGTTTTTAAATATTGGTATTGCTTTCAACATTTTTACAAAATGAAGTTTGAGGAGAATAAAATGATTCCAATCAATTTTTCTTATAAAATATAAAAATGAAGCAAAATTCAGACCTGAGTGTAGATAAAATATCCTCTCACCTCAGTAACAATGGACGGACACTACAGATGTGTACTGCAGTAGCCAAACTGATGCTAATTGAAAACAGCTCCATGATACGACACCATGTGCTCTACTACCTATCGATCTACTTGTATATTATTACTCTAATGCACTCTTATATTGTCTGTAGAAGGGTTAGACATATAGGATAATAAATTATTTCTTCAATTGTCAAGGAAAGCATGTAATTGTAACGAGGAGAAACTGTAAAACACAAAATTGGTATAGACTTCCGTAAAATGTGGAACATATAGAGGTATTTCAAAAGGAAAAGTTTTTAATAAATATATAATCGTTCTCATTTAGCATTCATGTATTTAACATTGGGGAGATTAGGTTTGGTGCACATTGTATGTTCAAGGAATAAAAACTTCGCAATTCAGAAAAGAAATCGAATAAATATTGCTGATCGTTTTACATGTACATTTTATCATAATGCATCATGTAAGGTATAAATTTCTACCATAAGTTTACTGATATGATTGTTTTATCGACCATTTAAAAGAAAACTACCATTCATTCATTTTTTTATTTATTTGTTATTGTTTACAAATCATTTCTTTCACTTAAGCAGTTTTGACATCCTTAATGGTGTTTTCTGAAATAATAATAATTGGTTTAAATGACACATGAAATTCAGATTAATATTTCATGTTAATTTGAATTTTCTAGAAGATTTTTGATGTTAACTATAAGTAAATGACGAATTTTCTTTAAAAATTTTGTTTGCTATGAACGATTTTTTTTTTAAATCACTAAAAAGATTTCTGTATTGATCATTAAAAGATATATAGTACCTAAAAAAGTTAAAGAAAGTAACACATACATTCTACCATATGCATATGTCATTGTCCTCAGGTTTCATGGTACTGGTATAAACGGTGTTGTAGTTGGAGCTTGCGTCGTTGGAGCTTGTGTTGTCTGTACGCATGCGCTGTCGGTTACTGAAATAGTTTTTTATGAATGTAAAACATTTATGAAACACATACAATTTTATAATATTGCATCTAATAGGTTTGTCACAAGCCATAAATAACTGTCACAGAGAATGAATAATTCAATATAAGCTTTCCGATTTACTTGTATATAAATCGTTTTGTTCCATGCAATTACAAAACATTAAGCATTAATATAATATTCTTCTTAACCTATACAGTATGTATCTCTATTCAGATAAAATTAAATTTGTATGACAAAACCACCCTTCTACGTGTTCTGAGAACATGATAAAAAACATACTGACGGGGAAAATTTTCTAAAATTTTTCTTTTAAAATTCATTTCATATTTTCTAATGTGATGTGTTAAAGTTATTTACCCAAAAATTCATTTTTTTATAATTTATGAAATAGTATAATTTTAAGTGCTCTCTATTTCTTATTTTTGAAACGTAATTTTATTGATTTTAATACCAATTTACAAAAACCAATCATTATAAATAATTTTGTAAAAAAAACAAACAAAAAAAAAAAAAAAAAAAAAAAACCCAGATTTTTATTTTCTATATTTTAAATTGAAATGTTTATACTTACCTGATGTCAAAATGAGAAGAACAAGAATCAAAGCAGCTAAATAATAGGGAATAATCGTGCGAAAATTCATGGTTGAATTTTTAGTAATCCCAAATAGCGTTTGTCCTATACCACCTCACTGCATACTGACTTTCTAAATAAACTGAAAGTCTTATTTAAAGCTGGTTTTTTGGGTAATTAAACATGTCAATGATCTGACTTTGTCGAAGATATAATCAGATATTGCATGACAAATGAGGTTTAAAAGGTTCAAACATGAAAAATATTTCAAAAGAATAACGTATACCTTAATGCTTAAATCATCCTTAAAAATAAAGGATGGACCAGAATTGTTATTTTCCACCCGATTAGTAAAATTATAAAAGAAAACAAAGTTGTTCTGTAGAGTACATTTATATTACAGAAAAAATATGGTGGTTCTCAATTGTAGAAAATTTTAATCATGGAAAATGCGTTCTTTCTATCAATTTGTTAGCCTTTGGTTTGAATAATATTGTACAAACTTACACGTGTGGAAAATGTGTTCTACTGATAAATTTATTTTTGAAGTCTAGTAGTCTTATTTTCTATTGTAAGCGCGCATTATTTTTTTTTTGTATTGTTACTTATATTTTTTTTTATCTACGTAAGTCACCTTTGCCTTTGAGGCAGAATGCCAATATTAACAAGAGGCCCAGGGGCCACAGCGCTCAACTGAGCACATCTTTAATTTACCCCCCCCCCCCCCCCCGGCGTTCATCATTTGAACAAACTAGAATCTACACTACCAAGATGATTCCATATAAGTAACACTAATCATAGCTTTGAAGTACTTGAAAAGAAGATTTTTAAAGGTTTCCCTATATATGTCCCTATGTAAAACTTGGGTGGGCCATTTTGGCCCCCACCCTAGCCCCAGGGGTCATGATTTGAACAAACTTGAATTAACACCACCTGAGGATGATTCCACATGGATTTCATCTTTCCCGGCCCAGTGGTTCTGGAGAAGAAGATTTTTAAAGATTTTACCTATATATTCCTATGTAAAACTTGGGTCGGCCATTTTGGCCCCATCCTAGCCCCAGGGGTCATCATTTGAACAAATTTGAATCTACACTACCTGAGGATGATTCCACATGAGTTTCACCTTTCCAGGCCCAGTGGTTCTTGAGAAGATGATTTTTAAAGATTTTTCCTATATATTCCTATGTAAAACTTGGGTCGGCCATTTTGGCCCCATCCTTGCCCCGGGGGTCATGATTTGAACAAACTTGAATCTACACTACCTGAGGATAATTCCACTTGAATTTCACCTTTCCTGGCCCAGTGGTTCTGGAGAAGAAAATTTTTAAAGATTTTTCCTATATATTCCTGTGTAAAACTTGGGTCGGCCATTTTGGCCCCATCCTAGCCCTAGGGGTCATCATTTGAACAAATTTGAATCTACACTACCTGAGGGTGGTTCCACATGAGTTTCATCTTTCCTGGCCCAGTGGTTCTGGAGAAGATGATTTTTTAAAAATGCCATTAATTTTTCTCTAATTCATAATTATCTCCCCTTGGAAAAGGGCGTGGCCCTTCATTTGAACAAACTTGGTTTCCCTTCATCCAAGGATACTTTGTGCCAAGTTTGGTTAAAATTGGCTTAGTGGTTCTTGAGAAGAAGATGAAAATGTGAAAAGTTTACGACGACGACGACGACGACAACGACTACAACGACAACGACAGACAACGGACAAATTCGATCAGAAAAGCTCACTTGAGCCTTCGGCTCAGGTGAGCTAAAAATCGTGATGTACGTATAACAATCTTGTAATTAATATACGGTATGTGACACTTAAATGAGCGTTTATTTCCAAAAATACTTCTTATCACAATCGTAATTAAAAGCTACTACTTTTTTAATTCAATGATTCAACTCCAACAACTTAACAATTTAAAAATTTCAATTTATGAAAAAAAAATTAATTCTAATTACTTTATTTAAAAAAAATTAAAAATACCTTTGTGGCAAGTTTGTGAAATGTACACACCAATGACTCACACAAAGCTTTTTATAAAGCATTTTTATATTTACATGGTTAAAATCATTGAAAATGTATATGCTAAATGTTTGACTTTCTCGCTGCCCTATCTTGTCTTCAGTCTCATTTGGACGTTAGGTCAGCGCAATTCTCCCTACATATATCTCTACAAGTGTGTATACAAGGAAATGGCTTTCAAATCAATTTCATAGTTGGTTAAGTAGAAAACATTGCAAATGTAAATATTTAATTATAACTGTTGGTTCAAAGTACTAACTCCACCCAAATACAAACGTGATTAATATTTTAAGATATGTTATTTTAAATAACTCGTTCTTAGTTACAGGGTTTATTTTAGCCAGAATATTTCCTACGCGTACAATGTACAGTACTACATTTAAAAAAAAATGTTATCAAAGGATATTTCAACAGAGAGAAAATATGTATGAAATAAGTGTAAATTTGTGCAAATGAAAGATGTATGTATTATTACGGTATATAATAAATAAAATAAAATAAGTACGAAGTTCAAAGGTTTGCGAGAACTATTGTTAAAATGGCGTGTTTAGCAACATCTATCAAAAATGTCTAATAAATCTTTCTTAATTTCTAAAGATAAACTAGAGCCGAGCTCGTTGCAAAGCAACGAGTAGGTCTTCCGTTGGAGCTGTGGACAGGAAGTGCCGACCTTTGGTCAAGGTCACTTTACTTTTTTTTTTATAAGAACAACTTCTCAACTCGGGGTAAGCCTCTTGTTAAGTTATGCTTGAACATTTTTTCTCTCTCTCAGTGACCTTGATTTGCCTTCATCAAGGTCATGACACAACTTCTATTTATAAGTAATCTATGTTTCAAGTACGGCCACCAATGATTTTTATTTATTAATTCGTAGCGTGGAAAAGAAAATATTTTTTTCTGTCAGTGACCCTGATCTCTACGAAATAACCTTGGATCTGTGTCAAGACAAAACCTCAATCTCAAACAACTTTTAGTAATTAGAAATTCATAAGCCTGACAGGAATTTTACAACTTTTTCTGTCAGTGACACTGAATTTGAAAAAATTGCATTATTTTTAGTTATCTGAAACCGGAGGACCATAAGCAATCTGTATCAAGTCTGAACTTAAAAAAGGCTAGATTGAATTTATACTATTTTCTGAGTCAAATGATACAAAACCTTTTTGTCACAAAAAATCTCTGTATCAAGTATGAGCTTCCAGATATTCTCGATTACATATACAAATGGCTCGTACAAAACATTAACTCTTTCTATAGTGACCTTGAATTTGCCATAATATTCCCTTGAACCAATGCCATGACACACCTTAGAATCATTCGAAATCTTTGTATCGAGTAGTATGAGCTCCAAGATTCTCCATAAATTTAAAGCATGCCTTCTGGGAAAACCTTGAGAGGCAGAAGGACAGCTAGACAGTAAAACAGAAAATGTTATTCCTAACCCATCCACCCCCACCCCACCCCCCAAAATACACAATCACTTTGTTTGCGGGGGTACAACTTCCTATGTTTAATTTTGAATACCTATTCCAGTCATGATTTGAAAAACAGTAATCTTTATTACATGTATTTCAGGAAGCTTTCATAAGTATGGTTTCTCATTCTTGCCCAGAAGTTCGAGAAAAATAAATTTTTAAAGACCCCTTCCTATTTTTGCTAATCGTTTTTCTACATTATCTTCATTTTATACCCCCCCCCCCCAAAGGTCGCTCATCATGTTAAAAAACACGTTGCCTAACCGAAACCACATCGGTTTATACACGCCGTTCAATTTATTTACATTTTTTTCCGTGAAGGAGGACGCGCAGGGATAAAAGATTAAAGAAAAATTCCGGATGCTCAACAGCACCATGCATGGACTTTATTTTAATACTACATATTGTGCTTGAAGTTGAATAAAATCTATAAATAAATTTAATTAAAATAGGAAACGGAGATAACGTTTAATAGAATAATTTTGACAATATATTTGATACAAGAACCATCTGATAAATACATGTATGTATATGAGCAAGGCGAGTCTCTCTCTCTCTATCTCTCTCTCTTATTCATGTAAATTTTTTAACCAAAGAAAAATTAATGTGCGTAAGATACAAGTTCATTATTTTAAAGAAAATACTCAATATTACATGTACATGATGTATATACGGTAAACGATACAAATGGTTGGACTGTGCTGCCGGTTATGATTTTAACAATTAAAATTAAGTCGTAAAAATGTAGTAATTACATGTACTAATGATTTTGTAATAGTCAGTAGTTACAGATTGTTATAAAAGTTCTTAAATTTTCAGTTCTGAAAATACGATGCAGGTTTATTACTTCTTACATGTATAACCTGCTACCAATATTTAATCACGGAACAAATGAAAATTAAATGCTATACATAAAAAAAATTACGGGTTTTGAATAATGGTAATTATAAAAAACAAATGATGTTGGCAAGTATGGTCCTAATACTCTTTTACCGGGGTACTGACTGGTGACTTCACATTAAAACCTGTTTTCAAGCTGTTCAGTTTGACCATATGAGTTGAATGCTTTTATTTCATAAATGCTGAAATCGGGGTATTTCATCCAAACCTATAATATAAATAGGCATTGCAGAGCACATTAGTCGCTTTTGAAGTTCAGACGTGCAAGAGTTACATGTACCTATCGATGTTTAATCCATTTCACTGACTATTATTCTATCCACATGATTCGAAAGTTTCTTTTAAAAGTTTAAAGATGGTATAACCATGGAAATAATCTGTGATGGGGAAAGAATGTGTATGAGAAAAATTGTGTTGAAAACGGATTTATTAAATCAATAATGGTTAAAGTATTTAGTCACTGCAGATCGGTAGTTCTTACGCAATGTATCATTAAAAGGAAAATAAAATTACATATGGAGCTAACGAACATGTAAAAAAAAAATACTGAGACTGATTAATATAAATGCCCCAGCGTTTTGTACTAAAAATAAATTTTAAGGCATTTTTAGATGGCGGTATTATATAGAACACTCAAGTCTTGTACTGTGAAATAAAATCGTTCGTTCATCGAAGTGAATTTGAATGGGAAAAAGTCTCATAATATTTATCATAATT